TCTTTATATTTTGCAAGAAAAATGGGGACTAGGTGGAGCAGTTTATTGAATTATGTGAGAACATCCATGGAATATGAGGAATTTATAAAGTATATTGCGAGTATATTTGCGAGTATATTTGCGAGATCTCGCAAAAGTATTGCGAGATCCCGAGTTTGTTTTGCGAGATCTCGCAAAAGTCCGTCTTAATTTTTTTTTTCTCCCTAATTTTTTTTTCTTCTCCCATGTCCCCTGCGGGGTTCCGTAAAAAGAAAATGTGCACCCTTGGAAGCAAAATATAAAGAAATGAGCAGTGCCTCCAGACTTTCAAATTATTGTTTTTTCTTACCATAGGAGAGAAGGTGGGCTAACAAATCTCTACCTTGTACGCTAAAATATGCTAAGCTAACAATTTAATTGCACTAGCTCTTACATAAAATAGCCAGTTTTAGCTAACTCCTCACACTCAACAAGGTGTGTTACTAAGATTCTATTTTTTAGTTAACATGTTTAAAAATAGCCCTACATCCTCACCTGAAAATATAGCTAGCATGCAAAGATATATTTTCAGTCAGCTAGTGCCTTGCTGCTAGACGTTTACACCTGTGTACGTTTACAAAGTTACAAACGTTACAAAGTGTACGTTTACACCTTTTGCTTCTTTACCTACATTACCTTAGAAATATTAGAAAGTAAGTAAATACAGGGCCAGACTCGCTGATACCAAAACACATTTAACCTAAAAACGCAGCTTATTTACGGGTTGTGATTACTTTCCACGATATTTAGTTAATACAACAAAACACACATTCAACCTGTTCATGCATGTTCATAACTGTGACAGAGACAGGTGTCTTATCCGCTTTGGGTAAACTTATGTGGTTTAAATGTACCATAGTGTATGTTTGAGGTTTATTTTTTTCCATTTCCAAAAGAATAATTTACCAGTGGGCTCCATACCCAACTTAGAGGATAGAAAAAGTAAAGCCAGCATTGCTATTGATACTATAAATATTTGGATTGATCCGCCCAACTCTAGTAAACATTAAATGTTCATTCAAACTTGCTAGAATTAGTAGTAGTAATATAAAAATAAAACGTTCCAGGTGCTTTAGGATAAATGCTGAAAAACTATAAATTTCACTTGAAATATAGCCTCCCTAGTCAAAACTACTCACTTAATTAGCTAAATTGAGATTAACAGAGTTCAAATTTTGTACTTACAGGAAACATATTATAATAATGCATATCACTGAACGCACTTTTCACGTGTTCTTTTTCAAGCAAAGCATCCTTTTATGTTTAACCGATGCTAAGAGTGACGTTTTTTCCCCTGTTAGTTTTCTATTTTTATGAATGAAGGCGGAGGTCAGTGTGCTTTCGTCATGTTCTCGACTTATCCACTAGGGGGGGCGCAGCAATACGCAGAGAGAAAAGCCTGCTGTCTCTCGCGGTGCTCAGGGTCGTGCGCGTGTCACCGTCTCACAGCATAAAGGCGAGGTTCACAGCTTCAAAACTTGCGATACATGGCTTGGAGGAGGCAGCGGGCAGCCGCAGTCCGACGTGTGCTGAACACGGTCTGAACCCGAGCTGAATGAAGCGAGTCCTCGTCTAGGCTGTTCCGAGCGCCGTGCTTTTCCCCCCTCCTTCCCTTTTCCATTTCTAATTTCCTTCTCGGTGAAATCTGACACATCAGCGGCTCGCTCGAGTTTGTAGACTGGTAGATTTATGCTAATTGGCCCGCGTGCTTCGCGATCGCAGGCGGTATCAGAAGCAAACACACTCGGCTGAAAACTGTGGCGTTTTTAGATGCCTTCAAGTTTGTGAGCGAGAGGGACAACCCCCGCCCCCCCCCCCCCTCCTCTTCCACCTCCTCCTCCAAACCCCGTTTTTTCACACGAGGGACAGACACACCGACATCACCGCCATCCTCTGCTGTATGAAACGGATCAGTGTCGGGAAGGAAACAAAAAAAGAAGTGGTCAAAGATTTGACGGGAATCATGGCAGCTACTTTATCAGCGGAGGAAGAGCAGGTAGGCCCTGAGAGTCCGTGTCTTTTACACTTCTTCGTTTCTGGGTTATGTTGGCTAACAATAAATAAATAAATAAAAATCTTTCAGTCTCGAGACTCTACCTGGAGGCTTTTTTGCCCTGTGTACTGCGAGTGCGCAAATGGTGGCTGTGCTCCGAAACGGTCCTGAATGCCGAGCGGAAATATTGTATCGATTTCTGGCGCATTACTGCCCTCTTTGCATCACTGTCAGCGGCTGAGCTGATGGGCTGCAGCACAGGCCGAGCTTGTCTTTATCGCCCCCCTAGAAAATGGAAGGGAAGGGGGGCATGTTTGTTTCGTGTGTCGTAGTTAAATACTGTGTATTGACGGGAAACTGCTTGGCCGCGAGAGTCGGAAACGCTGGCCGGTCTTTGACAAAATGTACACAGTAGAAACTTGGCTCAGCGTAAAGAGTCATGCATGCTCATGCCGTGCCATCCGAGCACATTTTAAGGCACATATCGCCGCACTTTCCAAGTTAAGGATGGAGGAAGTGCGTTTCTCTCAAATATTTCAGTACTTTGTTGTTTGCTTTAAGTAAAAATAGCCGTGCAAACTCTGTCCCCACACTCTTAAACACCAGCTTTAAGTTATCATATCGTTTTCGACATTATTGGCCTGTTTTTCTACTTCGAGGCTTGGAAGTAGTGAGAAGTGGGAGAATTCTGAGAAAACTATTCCAAGAACAGGAATTGGCCTATTGGCTCATTCTAGGCTTCAAGAACTCTGAGCCCGAAGAACGGAGCGTTTATTCTAGGAATGATGAGACTCTTGATTATTGGAGCAGAAGGATTTTCTTGATAAATCCCTTAGATGATGGACAGATAAGCAGCCAGCCTTTGTTTTTGTTTGTTTGCGATAATGTCTGAACAGGTCCTCAAGTGTAAAGATTTACTTGTTTGCTCTTTTTTGACTTGTGATTTTTGAGTTGAATATTCCTGCGATTTCAAGTATTTAATCATATGAGGATGGAAATCTTTTACAGACCTAGCTATAAAACAGAGTGTAGTAGTAGAGTTATGCATGAATGGTAGAGGTGGGCAGATCGAAATATCGATGGTATCGATGCTGATGCTGGTATCGGTATCTTACACAGGCGAGTACAGACTTTTTTTTTTTTTTAGGGGTGCTCAAGTGTCCCTCAATTTCATCACACCACCCCTAAAGAAAACTGCCCAGTGTTCTTGGTGTTATGATGATTCAGTCTCTCACAGAGGAGTTGCTTCTTCAGCAGTGTGGTTTGTCATTAATACTCTAGATAAGACTTGAGTTGCTGCACCAGAAAGAATATGCAGGGGTAATTTCATGACACAAATCAGTGATTAGCTTAGCTAATGTAGTCTAAATCACCAGAGATTATTTGCTAATTTTAGCTTTTCAAGCCACTAGTCTGCTGGCAACTAGTGATATACCAGCAAAGGAGCTGATGTACTTTATTTGCTCACTTTTTAGTTTGTTAAAGATTTCTATTCCGGTTCTGTGCTTCATTGTTTGTCTGCAGTACAGCTCCTGATCCAGGTGAGAGCAAGTCGAAAGGAAGTTTACGTCCAGTAGCAGCCTGTAGTCAGTCTGAATATTGTTATAAATGAGGAGCAGTTTATGCCTTTCATTGGTTTGTAAGTTCTGCTTCGCTGTTACAGTTGAACTTTTGGGTAACAGCACAAAGTCGGAGAGAACAGAAGTGAGCACAATGAAGACGGCAGAGAGAGGAAAACAAACGGGCAAGAGTGAACCTGTAGTCAAGGTCAACAAAATTATAAAGGAAGTGTTGCTTCAGTTTTGCCCATATTCTTTGATAATGATTTTTTTTTTTCTCACTCAGTGTCTAGGTGGGTTCTCTCCACGTACTCTGGCTTCCTCCCACACTGTAAACACATGCAGTCAGTGGGGTTATGTTAAGTGGTGATTCTTAACTGCTCATAGGTCTGAATGGTTGTCTGTCTGTGTTAGTCATGTGACCGTCTCGCAACCTGACCAAAGTGTAGCCCACCTCTCGCCCTATGGCAGTTGGGATAGACTCCAGCCTCCCCACAACCCTAATAAGTATAAGTGAAAGAGAATGGATGGATAATTTTACATGCATTTAATGGAAGCTTTGTGTGCATACTTTATATTGTAAGGTAGCCCCTACAACAGTCATGACTCCCTATGAGCAAGCCCTTTGGTAACAGTGGGAAGGAAGAAACCTCGAGCAGAACCAGGCTCTGAGAAGGGAGGCTATCTGCCGCGACCAGCTGGGGTGAGGGGAGGAAGATGGGACAAAATACATGCTGTGGAAGGGAGCCAGAGATTAATAACTGTAATGATTCAATGCAGAGGTTTATTAACACACGGTGTGGGAGAAAGGTGACTGAAGAAGAAATACTCAATGCATCATGGGAATCCCCCAGCAGCCTACACCTATTGCAGCATAACAAAGGGAGGATTCAGGGTCACATGATCCAGTCCTGACTATATGCTCTAGCTTGCAGAATGGATTTTCCACTTTCTGTATTGAAAAATGTTGCTTTAAGTGCTTGAGGATTTGGTTGACTTCCTCTATGTGGTTAAGAGACTGAACCAGTGTCGTGCATGTTTCTTCTTTCTCCTCGCAAACTGTTATTTAACTTATTTTGAAACGTTTGCTCAACATGAGTGAGCCTCTGACTCAGATTTGATAACTAAAGTGTTTGTGATGTGCTATTCGGTATTGGCTGTTTTCAGGAAAAATAGCATGTGTGCAAAAATGTAAATAGAAATGTAATTGAAAATAGCACCGAGATGAATGATCAGATAAACTGAGACTGGGGCCACGAAAGACTGTAAAGTCTGTGTACTGTGGGGGGAGGAAGGGAGGTTTCTGGCAGAACATCTCAGAAATAATTAGGTTAGTTTGTAATATGATTGGGTATAAAAAGAACATCCCTGTGAGGCTTTTCAGTCAGAAGATGGGAAGAGGCTCAGCGCTCTGCAAAAGACCGCACGGGCAACAGTTTAACTAGGATGTTTCTCAAAGTAAAAGTTTAGGCTTCTCATTATCTGTAGTACATGGTATCATTAACAGATTCAGAGAATCCAGAGAAATCCCTGCACACGAGGCCAAAAACCAATATTTATCGGCCCTGATTTTTCTTTTTTGGGCCCTGGGGCGGCTCTGCATTTAAAATCAAATGCTCTTCTGAGTTTAAAAAAAAAAAAAAAAAAAAAAAAAAAAAAATCTGCGTGGGCTATGGGAGACGTACCAAAAACTGCATTTACAAATGTGAGTTAAAACACAATGTGAGAGATCCAGAAATGCTATCAGCTTCTCAGGATCCCAGCTCATAAAAGATGGACTGAAGTCAAAGTGGAAAAACTGTGGTGGATGAATGAAAACTTGGAATTTTGATTTGGAAGTCATGGATGCTGCAATGCTGCTATCTGGATAATTTGTCAACATACAGCCTGCAATGACCACTGACATTGGTAACTTGGAGATCAGTGAAGGTGACATGAATGTTATAAACAGGTTTTTAAGCATTTACTGCCACACAGGTTTTCCCTTCTTTCTGGGACGGCTTTGTTTACTCAAGAACTGTAATGTCATTCACATTCTGCACATATTGTAGCAGTACGGTTGAGTAGTAAGACCAGCTGCTGAGGTGGCCTGCCTGCAGTCCAGATAGGTCATGCATCATGAAATGCAAAGACCCAAAACTGCCTTTGTGTTTTTTCTCAATTACATACAGAGTAGAGCAGGGCGATATGACCAAAAATATTTATCACGATATACATTTGAAAATTTGCGATAACGATATAACTGACAATATAATTGACACTAGACAAAATACTTTACAACTCCACAACTTTATTAGTGCAACAAACCCATCAATGTATTTTCACTTAAACAAGCAGCCGTTTTTTATGTGCATTAGTTATATAAAAATGTAACAGTGCAAATGCAAATTCCTTGCTGACAGTTTAACCAAAAGGCATTTCCAGTGGAAACTGGCCGACATATCCTCAGAATAACCATGTAGAATATCCACAAAACTTAAAAATAGCTTATACACACAATACGGTAATATTATTTTGAAGCACAGTACATATGACTCCGCGAGGCGCCTGGCTACAATAGCCGTAATGCTCCGACAATCCATCAAGCGGTGCGGGTTCGTAGCTTAGCAAAGTCGTACTGAAACATTTGACAGATTTTCATTTCGAGGTCAGTAAACACAACCAGAACTCATACATAAGGCACACGGGATTATAAGGGGCACTGTCGATTTTCAGAAAAATCAAAGGATTGATTTTAAGTGTGCCATATTTTCCAAACAACACGGTAATAACGACGGCTCGCTAGCATGCGCTACCAAAAATAGTGCTTTGTTGTGTATCTGACGGATGAAAGCCAGACCAGTTCCACACCACTGAAGTTGCAGCATTTTTACAAACCAGTTCTGGTTCATCCGTTTCATTCAACGATCCACTTTCGCTCTTCTCATTCTGTGTCGCCGCCATGTGCCTATGTAAACATAGGGCTGCGCATTCGCGTTTTACCCATATTCTATCGCGATATTTCATTTTCTTATCGTTGCCCAAAATTACACCGGTATTACCGTGAACGGTATGATATAGCCCAGCCCTA